TTACCAAATTTGACCCAACTGTGTGATCACTGTGGATGCAGTACTTCTATGTTTTTAATCTCCTGTAAGGAAATGACTCCCCTATAATTTTCCCCACACTTGGTTCTAGTCCCCTTTGATGCAACTGTTTCTACTCCAAACTCTTCTCTACCTCATTGATGTGCCAGATCATCGCATGTCTGACCCTATCCTCCTTGGAGGGGACCCCATCCTTCACTCATTTCTCCTTCCTCCCCAGACCCCCAATTTGGCTCTTCAGAAGATCAATATTTCATTTTCCTAGACAGGACTAATTAAAGTCATTTAATCATCATCAGCCTGAGAATCTCCTGGTTTCTAGGGCACTTTGACAGTCATCACTCAGGGCATGCATGGCAGGACGCCAGGCACACAGCCCAACTGATGTTCTGCTACAGAAGCAGCACCAAGAGAGAAAGCCTCAACTCTTCCTTTTTGTCAAGTTCCCACAGCACTCAAACACCAGATATATTACCAGGCAGCATGGAGAAGCACTGGTTCCCCCCACACCAGCTAACTTCCAGCACACCTTCACTCTCTTTCCCTAGACAGAGGCTCCAGCACAGCTGCTTTCCCTAGAGGCAGACCTAGCTGATCCTAACTTGAAAAAGCCTCTGTGGGTAAACTAGCAGGCAGTTAAGCCCTGATTTTAAACTCAAAGCTTACAAATTGACATTGCTGGCTGGGCTTTTTTTTTTTTCTTCTTTTTATAAGGTGCAATTAGGAAATCTTATCAGCCTACTTGGGGAGTCAGAGTATTTGAGGCTCAGCAATGCACATGCTAGGAGGCATCTGTGGGTGGTGATGCTGCCCTACCCTCAAGCTAGAGGCAGAAGAAAGACCTTTGGGAGGCTTAGTAAGGAATAGGCAGGCTGATAGCCTGAGGAAAAGATCAAGGAGGGAGTAACAGGAAGAATTAATTCCCCCCACTCCCAGCTATTTCTTTCAGCATGTAAAAGCCAGTCCATTAACTGCTCTTAACTTTTGCCAGAAAGGATACTTTCCTGCCTAGCCAGCTGAGGAGGGCTTCTTCAGTCCTTTTACAACTGATATGCCATTGTATCCTAGAAATCTCTGCCAGCTCCTGCAGTATCCCTCTAAAAGCAACCCAGGAACCCATGCAAAGAACTGGGGTATGTATGTCTGGGGGGACAAACCCAGTGAGAGACAGAGGCAGGGACCAGGCAAGAAAGGATGGAGGCTCTTTTCTGATGGGAAGTTAAGGGGGAATAAGAACAGGCTGAAACACTTGTTTCAAAGTCGGTTTTATTCCAGGCATTAAACAGATTCTGGCACATGCTTTCTTCAAGAAAAGGGAAAACAAATCTGGGCTCCACATAAATTACATCTGGCAAAGTGCAACTTACAAGTGAGTGGGGAAAATAAACCTTTTGAAATTGATTTCTGTACAACAGTAGTTTCAGCTCCTCTCAAATAAACCCCCACTGGTTCACAGCACACAAAATTACATTGGATGATCTGATACAGTAATAGCTTTCTTAAAAGGTATTACCAATGCAAATGCTCTGTCTTGACAGTCTAAGGGGCTGTTTAAAGTAAACAGGAAAACAAGGGTGAGCAGCTGCTTGTTCTGACTGTTAAAGAAACACATCACTGGGCCAAATTTGAGGGCTCAATCAGTGTGCTTTCAAAAACCCCACCAGAGTCCTGTTCCAAAACACGGCACCATGTGGACCTTGGGGAAAAAAGCACAGACAACATCGTTCCTCCTTCCCTTCAGTGCAAGGGAGATGGAATGTATACTAATAATGAGTTTGGACAAGACTTCGTTTATTCTGAGGAGAAGTTTAGTTTGCCCACACTTGAAAGCAGCCTTTTGTAATGCACTTCCTTTTCAGCAACTGGTAAAACGAACTGGAAACCAATGGCTTCCAGAAGGTGATGTGGGGGGAGGTCTGCACTGGGCCTACAGGAAGGTCCTGTGAGCAGTGCTTTAGCTGACAGCCAAGTAAGCAGTGGGGAGGTGACCTCAGGAGAACATGTCCAAAACCAGGCACAGTTAGGGCTCTGGTAGCCCCTAACTCTAGGGGCAAATAAAGTTATAGACAGCTAGCATAGGCCCACCTTTTCCCTTTTCTCCCCCAGGCCAGGACACCTGCAGAAGGAGAGTGCTCAATCTCCAGCTGCCCCAGCTCACAGCCCCAAAAGGACGCCAGTTCACACTCTGCCAGGTGATGAGCAGTAGGAGGAGAGGCATAAATCAACACAGCTAGTCAAGGTACCTCTGCTGCGGGAGCAGTCAGCAACCTCCAACGCTGGAGCCGAGCAGAAAGTCGAGGGCAGCAGCCAGCGTCCTGGCAAAAGCCCTTTGAACCAGGGCTGGCCCAGAGCTTGGAGACTGTATATAAGCAGAGCTTCTGAGGTCTGCAGCAGTCAGGAGAATTGTTTGTAGAGGAGCTGGGTCCTAGTCCCAGTATGGTTATGAAGAAGGAACTGCAAGAAAGCTGCACAGACACAGTGAGAGCAAGGAGGAAAGAAGCAGTACCTGGTGGAGGACTGAACGTGCTGTTAGCTGCAACCCTTAAGCTGCTGGAGGGCGCAATGGGGGAAGCTCACATGGTCCACTTAGGATGCATTTTGATGAAAATGCGTAATCCTTTAGCACTTCACTGTATACATAGTCTATGAACAGTACCTGCTCAATGGCCTTTTGTCTGTCTTTGCATCAACTTGTTTCAAGCCAGGTATGTGAGAACTTGATTGTTCCTGTCTCCTAATGCCTAATGATGCTGTTCTGGAAGTAGCATCTCCTGCACATTCTTGTTTAAAAAAGCAATTGTTAGTATGATGGCATCTCTCTGCCCCCACCATGGGTCTGTCTGCCCTGCCTTCTTTCTGTTCCTAGGCTATTTTCTTTCCTTCTCTGCTCTTTCCTGGCCTCACTGGTTCAGACCCAAAGCATGTCTATATAGGGGAAGAGAAGTATCTACAGAGTCAGTGTTCCCATTCCCACACAGAAGAGTGGCTGCACCATGCTGTAAGCTTGGGACCAAAGGGACCTGCCTCCTGAGTTTTCACAGTGCGGGCAGGTCATTCATCTGGTTAATCAGTGTCGAGATGGTAAGCTGATGTCAAAGTGAAGGGGGAAATGGGAAAAGAGCTCCTGCCATGTGATTGGTTTAATGTTTTAAATAAAAGAATCGAGAAGAGAAAACAAATCATCCAGTTCTCACACAAGGACTTCTGAGCACATGCAACATATGAAGAACAGTATCTGTTCTTTTGTCAACTGTTTGGGCTAATACCAAGTTAGGAGAAAGAATTGAAAAGGGATACAAATGTAATCAAAAGCAGCCAGCTGTTCAGAATCCAAATGACCATCCTGTTTCTTCTACACCACATCAGAAAGGATCCAGACAAGCAATTGCCTACTGAAGGTGGCCCTACCATCTGGTTCCCCTGCCAGGCTCTTGGAGAGGAGGGTTGGTTTACATACCTAGCTCCAAGAGGAAAATTTAACAGATCTAGTAGGAAAAGGCAAGGTTGTGGGGATTTATTTTTTTTTTTATTTGAATAGGTAAGCTTCCCCTGGCAGGTCTGAAAACCCACACTCAGCTACAGCTGACTGGTAACTGGGAGCAGGACTGGGATGCTAGCTAGAGACACCAGTTGTCTTTGGTATTTCCATAACACAAAGGAGATATCACTCAGGGCAGGGCTGTACTGTGGCAGCATTTGCATAGGGGACAGTTTCAGCTTCATCAGCTAACCTCTCCAAGGTGCCCACTGGGAGGAGAGCTGGGCGTCACAAGTGAAGCAGCCCCAAGCCTTTTCGCCTCCCCTTTCTAAGAGAGAGGGGGAAGGCAACTAGACAGAGGGATTGGATGGCTTGTCATGCCAGGCTGTGTTCACAAGGGCCATGCAGAGCCAGAAAGCCAGCCAGAGGGCTGTGCTCCTGCCCCGCAGCAGCAGGAAGCCTGCGATGACCATGGGGCCGTCCCCTTCTACCTCTTGTGGCGGGGAACTGGGTGGGCTCCTGCCACAGGCCTGAGCCAAGTGCCGTGGCACTGTCAGAGCACAGCTCTGTGCATCACCTCTGGTGTGGGGTGCAGTGGGCAGTGCCTGGTAGCACCAGGAAGAGCAGCCAGAGAAGGGTCCCAGCTTCCCTGGCATCCCAAAGAGTTGGCACCCATCTCTGACCAGCTCCACAGGAGTGTGGTACCCTGAACCCAGGTCCAGCCAGGCTGTCTGTAGGCTTGGATCACTCATGGAGGCAGGGCTGGCCTTCCACTCGTAAAAAAACTGGAAGCAAGAATTCAACAGGGAATAGTCTGCAAAACAATCCCTGGTTATGCTGTTAAAACAGATTGTCCCTTTTCTAGCTGTCTTGTCAGCATTGTGCCAACCTCAGCCCATTTGGCTGTAGGACAGCTACTGCAGGCAGAGGAAGGAACAGGCCCACCACGAAGAGTTACAAACCTGCCCCCAGGGTCTGCTAGTTCCTTCCCAGCCCCTCCACTCATCATGATGACTCTTCTTCTGGCCAGTCCTCGCTGAGAGACACGCATGCATAAATGATGCATGATGTTAGAATGAAAAGCCAGGGAAGCCAAAGAGCTACCAATGTTTGTACAAGCATTGTCTAAGCTGTTGGACTGAAGGTCATGGACTCTGGATGCAGAGAAAGGAACGGATGGGGAGAGCTGCAAGGCAGTTCTGGTCACTCTGAGTATTGGGCTGGGTCCTCCCTCTCTCTGGTTGCAGCTGTGCACGGACATCAGCTACAAAGGATAACTTAAGACAACAGATGGGAAGGTTTCAACAACTCTCCTCATCCCTCTCTCACCCCCAGTTTCTCTGAAAAGCTCAAAACCAGCAAGTGCTCAGCTGAAATGGTGGCTTGCTGATGGGCACAATGAAAACATTTAGGGTCAGACATACAAAACCATTCCTCCTTTCCCGATCCCCCTCTGTTCCCAAAGTCTCATGCACAAAGAAACAAGGAGATCTCTGTGCTACCATCACGTTGCTTGTAGCAGCTCCCACTGTTGGCCAGGTACACCTGCTTGGCAAGGGTTGGTGACCACTCTCCCATTCTGGTTTTCCAGGCAGAGACCACTGACAAAGTGTTGAATGAAACTGCCTTTCATCTTCCACTTCTGTGAGAAGACAGAGAAGAAACATTCTGTTACCTCCATTTCATCGTGGAACTGTGCCTCCAAGCTGAAGGAGAAAGGTTGAGCATAAACCTCAAGTAAGCCCCAACTACTGGGGAGACTGAAAATCTGGGTAGGGCAGCATCTCCAAAGCACTGGTTTCCTGTATTAACAATACCTGGAGTTTGGGTTTAGCTGAATTATAGGGCTAGATATTCAGAAGCATCTAGAAGGCAAACAACACAAAAATCAGCAAGTAGTGGCATTTTCAAAAGCATATTATATTCACAATGTCCCTACCATTCTTTGTTCTGCATCTGTAGGCACCCAGATACCCATCAAAACCTGAAATCCCTCTATGGTTTCTTTCCAACCCATAGAAAGGAAAGCATTGAAAGCTCTCCCAGCATGGAAAGCAATCCATCCACAGAAAGCAAAAATCACACTTCTTGCTGCTTGACTAGATCGTATCTATCTCTCTTCCATGTCCCCTCATCTCTCCTCTCATCAGATTCAAGATTTTTATCAGCACTACATTGAAAGCTCTTCATCGCTCTGCACTGTTGTCAGCTGGCTCTTCTTCATAATCTTATCTGCCCTGCCAACATTTCAGTTTATATGTGTCCGTTTGACAGCTTCTCAGTACATACTCCTCTGCTTTCTGCAGTGCTGTCCTCTGGGTCTGCTCCCTTCAGAGCATATCCACAAGGTCCCACATGCAACCCTTTCCTGAAGGTCCACTTTGGTTGTGCTGCTTTCCAGGAAACAAAACATAGGTCCTAACCCTGAACTGCAAATTCTGCTGGGAAAGGGCTGTACCTTCTATCCCTGCTGGAGAGAACTGGGACCATTGTGGCTGACAGTGAAGAGAAAAAAAGTAGAAATGAGTTTGTGGGCTTGGGATCTCCCAGGTGAGGCTGTGCCATTTCCCTGCAGTGGGGCACAGCTGAGGTCAGCAGGTTATTGGATTGAGTGCTCCAGGCACTTTCCCATCACTCTTTGCAGTCACACAGATGACCCAGTTAGAATTAGGGTCTGGGTGCTCAGTCAGTAAACAGGTTAGGAATATTATGAGGATGTTCTGGCTAACCCATGAGACTAATGAAGAAAAAGAAATGATATGCAAAAGGAAAAAAAAAAATTCCTGCAATATCCAGACAATGTCAAAACCTACCAACATTTTTATTTTTGGGTAACACAGCAAACAGATTGCCACATGCTGTGTGGTTTAAGACATCCAGTTATCTTCACACATTGCTGGCAGCTCTCCTCCAAGTCTGTGTCCTGGTTATGTTTCTTGGAGGGCAGGGCAGTTGCAAAGCCCAGAGTAATCTATTGCTTCTGTATCATATATTCATACCAGAGGCAGGTTCACTTTGCCAGCACTGCTAATCCTGTCTGATAGGATACGACTGAAGGAGAGCTGTTTGTGCAGCAGGAAGAAGCTGGTTTTAATAGGCAAAGGGGCAGAGGAATGTAGTGATGATGGAGAGGAAGATACAATGCAGTCTGTCCGCTGCAATGCCCTCGCCAGCTGCTGCAACCCACTGCCTACACAGGTCCCAGAGCCATCTGGCTCTCATCTGGCAGAAGTCTCCCTACAAAGAGCTGAGGAAGAGTTAATACCATAAGGCAGAAACTGTAATGAAGGCATGGAAAGCAGGAGGTCTTCCTCGGTGGAAAGCAGCACACTGCACCTAGCTGGTGCAATCTCTGCCCAACAGCCTCCCCACCACTGTTTCCCAGGGTCATGGACACCTCAGCGAGGAGCCTCTTGACCTTCTCCAAAGCACACCTACTGTGCAAAGGCAAACTCCTCCTTGCCCTCCACCCTCCCCCTGCCTCTCTGTACTTGTGAATTCCCAGCCTCCTCCTTCACCTTCCCCTGTGCGTGTGCTAGAGAATGCCTGCCAGCCATCTCTCCCACACACCCCATAGCTCACCAGAGGCCCTGCTGTAAAGGAGTATGCTGTTATGACATTTGAGATGCAGGACAATTACCAAGAGACACTGGTTTTCTTCTCCCCCCTAGCTGTTCAAGAGAAAACTAGCACGACTGGGAGACTTGCTCATGTTATTCCTCCAGATCAATGACCTGCTGTGTCATCTCTCCATGCTGAGCAGGTACCCACTGTGATGGCTGTAGGGACAGTCTACAGCAACAGACACAGCAGGACACAAGCAAACACTCACCAGAGCACATTTTCTGCTGCTAACTCCACCAAATCAATCAGCTTCTCAGTAAATTACACCACTGGAAAGCCCAGTGTTTCAAGTCATCCCAGATCTCTATGTTCAAAAGAAAGTGGGGCAAGGATGGGGAAGGGGGAGGAAGAACACTGAGAAGGTGACAGAGAGTTGAATACAAGCCTCATCCGGGCTCCAGAGAGGTGCCATGTACGAAGCTATTATAAAGCGTACTGACAGTAAAAGCCAAAGTAGGGCTCCTCATGTCACGTGGAAGTGGTATTTTCAGAATGCTGGATTCTACCCTTTCTGGTCAGAAACTGTGCTTTGCTGCCTTCCATGAGATACCAGAGCAACTCCTCTGACTTCACCTGAACATTTCACAAGACCCCCCTGCCTGACTGCCAGACCACAGGATTACCAAGGACAGCCCAACACCTAGCCCTGCAGGGACACATCATATCTCAGACCCTTGAGGAGGGTGGGCAGTAGGAATGGGTGGAAACAGGACATAGGATGCTCATCTCCTACCATCAGCCACCTCAGAGCTGGGCAACTTAGTCTAAACTAGTCACCTGGTGACATACTTAGGGAGGGGTCCAAGGTACAAACACCTTCTGGAAGGGCCCAGCTTTCTCCACAGACTACAAAGGGAGCCTGGATAGCTAATTTTTAAATGACAGTGATGATGTCCATCTTCAGGAAAAACAAACAAACAGAGCAGAGACCTCCTGCGTACACAGCCAAACATTACAGGGAGCCCTCTCCTCTCCTACACCCAGACATTATGACTGACCTGTACTTGGAAGAAAAGCTTTTGGAAGATATAAGCATGGCACAATCTGAAAAATTTTGGCTTGAAAATCCTCCTTGGTCTCCCTCTCTTGTGCAGATGGAGATAACACAGTTTACTGGTCACAATAGGTTTGGAATGGAGATGGAAAAAAAAAAGAATCCATATTTTCTTTGAAATACTGCATCTTGATCTTCTTCCCCAACATCAAGCAAAAATTTCCCCACTTTTTTGTAAATCTCTCTCTCCATCTTTATTATCTATCATTGCAAAGTACTTTGAGGTGGCTGGATAGAAGTGCTCCATATGCAATTACTAAGAGAAAAGTCAGAAGTAGCCAGTTCTCTTCTGCACAATGTATACAAGAGCTGAAGGTGTTTACAGTAGTGTAATTTTTCAGGGTAATCAAAAGTTTTCTTTTAAACCCCAGCAATCCAATCAGTCCAGGGTTTCTCTCAAGATCCTAAGAATAGCCTTATAACCCTGAAAACATAGTGGAGTTGGCCAAGCTCAGGAAACAGCCATAAGGAGCAGATTTTGTTGATTAGGACTGAGATGCTTCAGACAGAAATGTATGGAGAGCTGATAACTGGAATAGCCAAGGATGCTGCAAGTTGTAATTGAATGTATTTGCAGAGCCATGGGCAGGCTGAAGCTGGTGTTGAAGATGACAAACACTAATTTTAAATATATGAACAGACAGAGTGTGATGGAAAAGCTCACACCAGCATCCAGCAAGTACTGTGTCCCTTTGAGCACGTAAATTTTTAAAACTAGGAATCATAGCTGAGAGAAACTCTTGTCTCCTGAAAATTACTTTCAAGCTATGGCACACTGCCAGTATTGTTTTACCTACTTATTATCATGAAGATGCTGAGTCAGGTGCTTCCAGAACAGACAGGTTTTCACTTCTTCTCTTTTCTGATAGTCTATATAAAGTTGCATTTGTCTGCACTTCAGGTAATACGATACACCAAGAAGCAAGGTGGGAAAAATTTCCCAATCACATCCAAAGGCACACAGGACTTCAAATACTGTTTATCTCACAAGAAAGCTTGGTGTCCTCATTTTCAGGCTGGGGTCACATTCCTTCAGCACATTTTAATGAAATATGGCTGTTTAATAGGATTTCTCAGCATGCTTCTTGTTCTGTTGGGAAATACTGTGCCAATGTTTCTCATTTTCATTCTCTTGTTTTAGTGTCTGACTCTCACTTTGCCTTCTATTTGTCCTCACTATAATACAAATTAAAGTGCCACTCCCACCGTCAGAGCCAAAACCAAAGCTAAAAGCAATAATTTATTGTGCATTCAACTAAAAAATGCTATTCTCCAAATAACATTATGGATAACATCCATCTGGTTTGAAATCTAGTTCTGATTATGCAGAATAGCTCTTGGCTGGTCTTCTGCTAGCAGTGCCAGCTGTTGCTGTTGAATGATCAATGGGATCATGGTGCCAAATAGATTTTGTTCCTGGTTCCTTTCAACCCAAGGGAGAGTAGTCTGACAGAACCAAAAACCATCTAAATTTTGACTACTGTCTTGTATCTTCCTACTTGCAAAGTTCTAGACTTATTTTGAGGTAATACACTAGGCACTGTTCATAATACTGTAAAGCCTCTGTTAGAGTATTACATATATGTTAGATGGGACTGTTGTTAGCACTCAAGAATAACAACAAAATTATCTGCCCTGTGGACACGCTTAATGCATAACAGCTGTGTAGCATGGGCACAGGTTCAGTATGTTTGAAAGCAGAAAGCAACTTCAGGAGCTGTATGGTGGTGTCATAAGGATGTAACCAACCTGCTCTGGTGACACTAAAAAACGAAGCCATCATGTGCCCCATCTTTTGTCAGAAATCTTCCTTTTGCATCACTCAGACATAGACAGGAAATCTAGATCCAGAAAAGTCCAAACATCTTCTACCACAGACCTCTGATGACAGTGACACCAGAGATGTTCAAAGGTGGGCTTTCAGCATGCCGCCATCTCCTCTTAGGATATTGCATGTGTGATGCCCATTGCCCAGGCTCACCCCCTTCCACTCCGACCACCCGCTTGGGGCTCTTGCTTGTCACCACCACCTCTGAAGTAGCTCAGCTCCCCTTCCTCCAATCCCACTCAGTTCCTCTGACTTTCCAAGAAGCCCACTTGAACTGAAGAGAGGCTACACCCATGCGTAGTTTGAAAACACTGCTCTTGCCCCGGCACTCCCACTTTGGGCTGTGAGCGCCCATGGAGAGGCAGACAAGTTGTAGTGAAACTGAGGGAATTTGTTCCCTTCAGCTTTGCTCTTTCATTCCATGCTTTAAAGTTTCTACAGCAGAGACTGTCTCCTTGAAACTCAACCTCCCAAATATCAGGAGGAGAGAGAATGGGATAGTTTGCAAAGATGACTGACTTCTAGGTAATTAAAATCCCATGTCAGTTTAACAACAGTTACTGTTGTGTTTATGGAAGGAAGGGACCATAACAACATTGCCCAAGAACACAACAAACTTGAGCATTGCAAGTAGAACTGGCTTTATAAGTAGAAATCTGAAATGGTAGTTTGGGACTTCCAAAAAAACCCCAACGTTTCAGAGCATTTCAACCCAAATCAGATTAGAAATTCAAATGTACTTCTCCCACCTCATCCCTTCAGCCACGAGGCCGTTTGGAATGGCAGCTGTGATTCAAATCAGTCTCTAATTATTTGAAATGCTTAAACAAAATCCTTGCTTACAGTCAGTTGGCTAAATCATCTGCTAGGTCAAGTCTTTGATTTAAGTGCAGTTTGTTCACATACGGTAATGGAAAACAACAGCTCACATACTTAAATGTGTGTGCATGTCCTTTATAATGAGCGTGTATATAATCAACACATCAAGGCTCAATAAATCCTATTCCAGCAGTAGAATAAACCTGCTCGTGTTTGTATGGATTAATCTCTCTTCTGGCTAATAGGGCTTGGACTCCACCCCCCTTCAGGGGACCCTTGTCCTTCCATGGCAGGGGAGGCAGGGAAAGACAGCTGATTTTGGCAGCTGCTAGAGTCCTCTCTGCTGCCAGGGAGGAAAATGCTGCAAGGCACCTAAAGGGAAGCTAAGTGACCTAATTACACAGCAAGGGGGTGAGTGATTACCAACAAGAAAAAGGAGCAGGCAAGCACAGCCCACCTGGGATATCCTTGCAAGGCTAATCTGAACTCAGAGTTTTCCCAGGGTATTCAAGGTGACAACTCTTCAAGACATTTCTGCATTAACCAGCCCTCCAGAGGAAAGTCTACATAGGCTTTCCATAAATGGGCAAGACTGGATTTCAGTGTTTTCTTTCAGGAAGAACTAAATTCAGAGATTCATATAGCATTAAAAAGTACTGACAAAACAGGATGCTGCTGAGGACTGGTAGCAAGCTGAGCCATCTCCTACCTTTGGGCTATTAAAACAACAGATGTGTCAGAAAACACAGAGTCAGCATAGCCTTAGATGATAGAAAGTTTGTTCTCTCTTGGTGTAGAGGAAAGCACAGGAACTAGGGATGAAACAAGCCCAGTCCACTCTGCCAGCGCTGCGTTGTCACCTGTTGTGTTTTGCCCAGTTCTGATAAAAAGGCACATCGCATCTCTGTGAGGGCACCCTGGCCATTGCAGAGGCCATCTCTTACCTCATGCTGTAAGGCAAAATGACTTACGTGTCCTGACAGATCAGAGATGCATATCTCGGAAACAGCATAAAAGTCACAGAGCTGCATTTTGTTGGGAACACTGCTGCTGTGTATTTTTCCTCGGGGAGCAGTTTGGGTGGAACATATGGTGCTTTATGTCAGTCAATATTTCTCAGATGAGTTGCATGCACTCAGTTTTAAAGGTCTGTTCACATGTCCAAAGACAGCACAAAGAACACAGTTCTCTCACTTCTAAATAAGTAAACACACATGCCACCCTTCCCTTGGGTATCTCAAAGCATTTGCTGCTTATCTACCCCTCTCTGATGCTGTGCTCCATCTGTGCACCAATCTAGCTGAACATAGATGTATCCAAGGAGCGAGGTCGGGGTGCTACTGAGCTGGAGCTAACCACGCCGCCAAGGGCCCAGGCTGAGCAGACACCCACACACTAGTGTGGTCTGTGCTCCCCGCTTTGGTCGCCGGCAATCTCATACAGCCGAGCTTATGAAACACACCAGAGAGGGAGATGCAGAAGATGGAAGGGACTTTTATACACCTTGATAGTACTAGGTTTGCCCCTGCAGGCTGCACTGATGTAGGAACACTGGTATGTGTTGGCATGTGGCATGGTACGTGGCAATGAAAGGATTAAAAACAGGCGCACAGTTACCTACCTGTCTGCCGTCTTTTTGATTGCAGGCTTCCAGTGTGATTTGAGAGCCAGTAGAGAAGGAGGTAATGGAAAGACACTTGTCTTGCTGTCTAATTAAAGGGTCACTGAACACCCACTCCTTCAGCATAAGAAAAAGAAAGGTTCCATTAGGATCATAATGGTGATCAGGTGAGGAAGAAACAGTTTTTTCTAGCAGATATTTCAAAAACCTGTATCCTTTGTTCAGCTCTTACCAAAGGCTCCCTGGGAAGACTATGGCAGCAATCTTCACCTGATCAGAAGTTTATGCTCAGCCTTGGTGCATCATGACTATTTCAAAGCCTGCAGCTGACTCCTCTGACCATCTGAGCTGTCTGATTAACCTCGGATCCCATGCAGCTCCTTGCTCTGCAGCTTTACAGATTCAGGCCTACAAAGCAGGGAGTACCCTGAGCCCTGATTTACATGACGTGCAACTGCTTCTGAATATTTTACATAGCAGATGTGTTCTGTAACAGGTATCTGGGACCTATAGATTGTGAAGCGAAGCAAAACACATGCAAGCATATCCATAGGCTAACATATATCACCAGCACACATAAAGCACAAGCCACTTCATTTTTTCCTCCTCTCACTAGATGGATACCCAACCCAATCAACTATTATTATTATACTTTCCCCAAGGAAGAAATACAAAATACAGTAAGTTTCAGAGATTTCAAATGGTAATGACACAGAACAATGAGTCAGATTAAATGGCATGTTGAACGCTGGCTGTAAACTAGTTTCCAACAGTTAACAGATGTGAATATGTATTTTCTGGCATAAAATATCCTACTGTGACCCTTAACTTTCTCAAGCTGCTTCCCTGCTGCTTTCAGTCACCAAAAGAAGAGGCTGAGTGCAAATCTCCAGCTGGTACAAACCAGCACAGCCCTAGTGCAGTTAGGAGAGCTGCACCAAATTACTGCAGCTGGGGTCTTGGCTATTTAAACTCTGCTTGGGCTTTATACTGAAATGCATGTGTACAATAGCACAATTCAAGCCATCTGCAGCTACAGCTGAACTGGCAGACCAAGGAACATTTCTGATTCTGGGAAAATCTCTTACCCACATGCCACAGTACTAGCCAAGCACACCCCAGGACCGATTCTCATGGGTTGGATGATGAAGCAGAGCACACCCAAGCAATGGTCTGAGTGGGAACAGCTACATGACTCAAACCCTGGTTGCACACCTACTGCACAGACTAGTCACACCCCTGAGCATTCATGCGCTGCCTGTTGCCTTTGAGTGATGAAAACCTTCCTACTCTATGCCCGACTGCTGGGTCTGTTGACCCAACAGAGCTCTGAGAGATGGGCACCGTTTCTTTTTCTGCTTACTATTAAAATCATTAACAGACCCAAACTCTTCCTTCAGTTACCTCTGTACAAACCCACCAAGGCCAGAGATGCCTTTTCATTCTCAGGTATTAAAAAGGGCAGAAGCAAGAGCAAAGCACCAAACTGAAGCCTGCCTTACCTGAGTGACAGGTGGATTGTTCACTGTTCCTTTACAGTTTCCCATGCCAGCCAATGTGTTCCCTGTGGTATCCTGTGCCCGAGACTCTAGGCAGTTTCCTCCTTGTTTAATTATTCCTGGAATCAACTCCTTTTCAGGAATCCTTGAAGTAAAATGACAGTTGCATGGCACTTCATACACAGAAACGTCCAAAGCACTTTCACATTTACAAGGGCATAACTAGCCCCTGACCGAACACAGTCCCCTTTTTTTGACAGAAAATGAACAATATCATGCTATCCACTGGAAATGTCTGGAGGAGGCAAAAGTCAAGGGAGAACTTGGTCAGAGGGTCGGTACCCTCTTGTTTCAGAAGGCATAACAGAACCTTTAGGTATACCCCAAGCAGTTTATTGTGATGTCTCTTCTGAAAGAGGCCATTGCCAGGAAAAAGCCATATCCACACTGATTTATCCTGCTTCTGCCTCCCCCTTTTCCAGTGCTTCCCCCCAGTGCTAGCACATATTCTCTGTCTCATTAATAGCAATACAGGAAAGATCCATCAAGGCCAGACTACAGCTGGATGTTTTAGCCTTGACCCACGTTAGCTACAGACTTTGCTTGACTGAAACGTAAAGATGTGTTGCCAGGGTGTGTTAGCTAGCCTGTGTTACTAACACAGCTCTACCCAGACTACCTCCCAGCAAAGCAATGACACAACACTGCTGCATCCTGACCTGGGGCAGGGGAAGCCACAGGCACAGCTGGTTCTGGCATTCACCAGGGCTTTCTCTGAACCACCCGCACCTCTGCACTGAGGCTGTCCAGCTCTACTTGGCTCATCTACCTCCAGGCAGAGCAACTAACAGGCAGAGACCAAGCTATAACTGGGAGGGATTTACTGCTCTGGCACTTGTCTACACACCGCACCTCTGCAAACACCACTGTTGCACATCTCTGAGGGACAGCTGTGTGGGGCAGAGCAGGACTCCCAGAGGCAGGAGCAACAAACCTTTTGCAGAGTTGCTGTGATGATACAAGCCAGGAGATCACAGGAGGTTTCTCACCAAAAAGAACAGAGAAAAACCTTTTCCAAGCATAAGTCTCTCTTTTGCCCGCTGCCGCCAAGGCTCAGCTTCTCATTGTAACCCACCTCCCAGACCCTTCAGAGATTTCTACAAGTGGAGAACTGACTCACTTGAGCTCGGGGTAGACGTTCTCCAGATACCACTGGAAGGATTTACAGTTCAGTTTGCGTCGCTGCTCCACTCGGTCTGCAACACTGGAAACACAGGCAGGTTGTTGAGGATAAGGTAGTGAACAGGAGGGAGGGGAACAATGAAGATTGGCCAGGAGGTTTGAGGGAGACTATACGACTTTTTCCCATTACTCATTCTCCCACGTAGTTGTTGCTGGGTTCAGAGCACTAGCAGTGACCTGAGGTGAAAAGGAGGAGAGAGGCAAGTGGCAGGAAATAGAAAAGGAAGACAAACACCTTCAGAGAGCAATTCTTGTACTTCATTTGGCTCAGAACGATGGCAGGGCCCGGGTCTTACAGGGTTAAATAATACGTTGCAGTAAAACTACTGTAGGACCAGGAAAGCATTTCTGCCTCTGGGTGCCCCTGGAGAGGCATACCATGAAACTTGCACAACGATCAGCTCCTGAAAAGGCCTAGAAAGTGTTTGTGCTCAGGCAAATACAAATGGTTAATCTGTGTGTCCTAGAGCACATGACTAGCTCATGGCAGCAGCTCTAGGCTCAGGCTGGGTTTCAGACCTAAAGAACATAATTATTTGCTCTTAAGCAGTTTTGGGAAAGGGGAGGAGTATAAGGGGAAATTAACTCAACACCTCAGTAAATGTCTGCTGCAGGAGTCCTCCCACTGCTGATTTGCTTGGCTTTAGCTGGCTGAAGAAGAGGACTTCCCTCAAGCGGTCCTACTGAGCAGTGACACTAGGGACTCTCCTCTTCAAGTTATAACACTACATTTGTGTGTTGGGAAGGACTTTCAACTGTACCCATGCTCCTTGCCATCCTCAGCGCACAGAAGCCACTGAACTGCCCATACGTCAGGAGAATGTACTTAGATCCTATATTCACATCAAAAAAGTGGGGAAGGAGGGTCCATTTTAGGCCCAGTTGACAGTGATGGTGTTAGAGGCATTTGCATTCTAAAATCTAGATTTAATACAGGTTCACAGGGCTGTTATTACAGGTCAAGAAATTGCCTGAAATCAGATCTCCAGCTCTTACTCAGCCAATGCTGCCAGTAAACCTACTAGGGAGTCTGTGTGAACAAGAACTGCAGGTTTTGGCCCTAAAACACATGAACAACATATCCATGTCCAATATGCAGCAGTCTGGTTTCCTTCACAAGCAGCAGGTTACTTGCTATTTGGCCCCAGCCCAGCTGCTGCAGTCAGCTCAAGGACAGATAAATTAGGTAGGCAAAGCTATTTGTACAAAAATATGTAATGCATCATGATAATAAAGCATGATGTACAACAAAAAAAGTGCGTGTGGGTCAGACCAAACCTGCTTGTCATCAAATAAGCAGGAAATGCATCATTACCCAGTGCACATAGCTACACATTTGAGATACAACCACATTTGCCAAGTCCTTACGCTGATACAGTAGTCACCTGTTCACAGGCAGATATAACCCACAGATACACACCACTCCTGGGATTTTTTACGTTTATTTGGGAGTCATGGGTGTTTGTTAGCACAGAGAGCAAGCTCTCCCCTCATCCCAGGTTTTGGTGTCCATCACTGACTTCTGGGTCACAAAGAATGCTTAAGCCCATAACAGTGAATCCCATGTGGCCTGGAGACAGCTTTAGCAAAGGTGCTCTAAGGAGCATAATTCTGCACAGAAGTGGGCTCAGCAGGTGCTGGAGATGAGTCACAACCAGATTGTGTTTCTAAATGAGATGTCTCACCATTGGCCATGCTCTCTCCTGCCCTACAAACCAGGCAAACCACGCATTCACTCATCAGGACAGAGGGGAGTGCTCCGAGTACCACCTGCCCCATGGGCCAGCTAGCCGTGCTTGCCCCAGGGCTCTGCATTCACACAGGAACTTTGGATCAAGCTCTAGTAACTGCATAGCTCACATTCCCAGAGCAGCTGCATGCTGTGTTAGAAAATATTCTTATCTATCCACTCAAAATGTCTGGCCTTTTAATTTCATTACAGATCCCTTCAGCCTTCTGCTAACAAATGATTTATGCAGGGCTACTGCAGGAAAAATAAAATGAATTAGAAGCAAACCTTGTTAGCCAGACGCTCGAGCTGCAACTTCCTTGGCAAGCCAGTCATTCAAAGCATCTCTGTTTCCCACACTTAGCTCCAAAGAAGATCCAAACCCTATTTCTTGCTAGCAAGGGGCTTACAAGAGCCCTCCTACTGAGGTTTGGGGGCAGCTTACCTTCCAAATGACTTCCCAACGGCAGATGGCCGGGCCTCATAGTAGTACTGCTTGTATTCATCCATCCACACCTCTGCTGTGCGCTTGGTATTCCTGCATGGGTATGAGGAGATGCTTTGCTGAGCGCTGCTGGAGAATCTGCCCTCCCAGCGAGCAGGCACTGGGTGGGCAGACCCAAGGCCTGTCTGCCAGGAGGGAGTGGGGGACAGTCCCAAACATGAAACACAGTGGGGAGTACAGATGGATATAGATTTAATGTGTTAAGTCTGCAAAGCCTTGCAAGGATGCTTCCATTCCGAAGTTAAAATTTTAACAGCCATAGTTTACCAGGATTTCTTCACACATGCTCCCTCTGCAGAGACACCTGGCCTCACTCTCACGATCACCCTGCTTCACAGTACCCCTTTCCCCAGATTAGAATAACACTATGGAATAATTCAGCTTGGAAAGCACCTCTAGGTATCACCTAGTCCAACCTCCGGCCCAAAGCAGACTTAGCTTCAGGTTAGGTCATGTTGTTCAGGGTCTTGTCCGGTCGCGTTTTGAAATCTCCAAGGATGGAGATTTCACCACCTCTCTGGGGCCCTGCGCCAGTGCTTAACCACTCTCATTGTGACGAACTTTGTCTCATCTTTTGTCTCTTCCCATCTGCCTGGAAGCTGTCCTTAGGACTCGTCTCAGAGCACATACAGCTTAGTAGGATCTCCGGACTCAAAAGCAGCTCAGAGACAACAGAGATGACTAAGGACTGCTGATACACAGGCACATGTCATAGGGCCGTATCCACAAATGGCCAGGGTCTCTCCCTGGGGTACTGCTCCCCCCCCTCCATTGCAGACTGAGGAAGAACAAGATGCACTAATACAAACAACAGAGAAGGGAATGGCTTTTGTTCACAGAAAACAGCAACTCATCCTTCCCTTGAGAACAGATGCTTAGCCACAAGCTGTTCTCTGTCATCAGGCAGAAAGACAACAAAGAATTCAGGTTTAATTAGACATGCCCAACATCAAGGTGACCTGGCTGCTACCAGGAACTACCCAACACCTACTTGATGTAAGTTAGTGCATTGCCCTCAGGGAAGTCATAGGGATGGCGCTTCCTGAACACGTGTCCCACTCGACTGCAGGGAACGATCTCCAAGCTGCCACCGCACATCCACACTCGGAAAGAGAGCTCTGGAAGAGACCCCAAGAGTCATACAGCTGCAGGCAGATCTGCAGCATTTCCAAGAAGGGCAACATCAGCAGTGTGCCTGAAAACCTTGCCCCTCTGCTCTAGATGTATTGCCTGCAATAGCAAAACCAGCAAAAGCAATGCCATGGTGAGAGTGGAAAAACTGTCCTCCCTTTGTTAAAAGGGAGGCAACCTTTGTGGCTCAGAGACTTCCTAGCCTTCTCCAGTCCCGCTCCTCTCTTTGGTCCCCCTAGCATTTCAGTGAGACACCTTTCCCTTTGACCAGGTCCTTGTGGTTGCCAGGCCTTCAGGATGGCATTTGGCAACAGATTGAGATCATCCCCACACCCACCTCGTTTTGGACTTCTGTAACTCTCTGGCCCTGCACACAGATGGAAGAAAAAAAAGAAGAATTCACTGTGTAAAGCAAATCATTTGAGGAAGAAAGGGAATTTAGGAGATAAGGAGAAAGAAGAGAACAAGATGAGGGCATAGGAAGTGAGTCAATGTCTAGAGCAGAGTCCTCTCTCTCATACCTCCATGTTATCCACCCTACAATATCTTGTTGTTCTTGTTCTGCTTGGTTCTGTTAATCAAAAAAAAAAAAAAAAAAAAGTGAATGACTGGCTTATAGTTTGTCACCAGTTGCCACTGCTGGGGAAGCTACTGAGAGCAGAAATCAGTCTAATGGTGTGACTATAAAAATATGGAGAGGACTCTGCTACTTGAAGAAATCCAGCTGGTCCTGAAGCTAAATTCAACATTTTGTTAAAGGATTAGAAGAACACAGAGCTTTGATGTATAGGCACTTATTTGCATCACAGAAGAGATGTGACCTTGCTCAAGCTTATGGGTCTGTCCTCGCAAGTTTAATCACTGCCACACCGGAGGGGTTTTCCACTTATGTTTCATGTGGCGATGAGAAGAGAAGGAAGAAGCAAAATGAAAATTAGCTGGGTAGTTTGGTAGTCCTTACCAAAAGGGCTTCAGATTGTGTAGACTGATTACTTCAAAAACTTTACTCAGTTGGGATCTCCCCCCAGTAATGCCTGAATTATGGGGCTCTGATGTTTAGAAATTAAAAAGCTTTCCTCTATAGCTCCTGGGAAAGGTTGTTCAAACAGTGTGTTTTGGGGCATGGAAGATGGTGTATTTAATATAGCTTCTAAGTAAAAAACCATTTTATTAGACTGTATTTTGTGGCATTTCTTACTAGCTCTTGTGTCTCCCTCACTCATTCCTAGAGCTTATTATTTTCAGTCTCTTCTCAACAGGGAGTTCCAGCTTTGAAGACAGGAAGAGCTTTAAAACCAAAAAGGCCAAGACATAAGTTTCTGTCTGGTGGTGTGTCCAGCTGGCATTTGCTCTCCTGGAATGAGGTTCTGACTCACCCCGACCTATAACAAACCCAAAACACTCAATGTAGCATGTGTAACTTAAAGTGATGTCCAAATCCCAAGAGAAGATTCCTCATGCCGTATTGGTATCTTAAGCACACACAGAGACTGCATGTCCAGGTTTGTAAACGACAGAATTCTTTAAAGAAGTGGTGAAAGAATGCAGATTTTGGGCACAGAAGATAAAATGGAGATCAAACATAGCTTATTAAGGACTTTCATCCATCCTGATGGAAAGCATAGGAGAACTTTTTGCTGAATATTTTCCAGGACGTGACCTGTGTTTTAAATGACTTAATCACTGTGGCTTTTCCCCATCACAGTGGAAAAAAAGGGGTTTACCAGCTCACATCCAGCTGGAAGGATATTTAGGCAGCTGGTAATTGCTGCCTGATCATTTCTGTGTACCTGCTGTGTGTGTAGAGCTTGTCCGGCTCCATGCCCTTCCCATACATTCTCTTATCCTGTTTCCTCACAGGAAAAAATTTTCAAAGAAGAAATTTATTAAGAATGGTCTTCGTGGGCAGGGAATAGTCTATCTCACCCACCCAAATTAGTCAGAACTACTCTCCCACCTCACCTGCAAATGGTGACCTTATCCAAACAGTTCCCTCCCACTCAGAATTGTAATTTGTAGCAAAAATAGTGATTCAGAACATTATGAACATTTTTCCTTGATCACAAAATCTAATCTTCTATTAAGTATGGAAAACTTTTTTTTAAGAGGGTAAATTAACCATTTGGAATACGTCAAGGAAAATTAATAGATTTTGTTGTCAGATACAGGTTGGTTTCTACCCTCTGCCATGCAACAGCAATAGGCTAGATGTAGAAGCCACTGGTTGATTTGTTGCCTCACATTATGCTGAACAGCTGAACAAAAGTTAGCTTTAAAAAAGAAAAGTAGTCTGTTTTGGTTTTAAAATACCTTTCCATTGCCATCGTCATGGTGGTGTGGCAATGCGGCTCAGGGACAGGGCCCATTAAACAGAGCATTGTGCACTTAGCTTTGCCCTCTTAAGTGAAGAGTGGAGGTGCAGGATAAGAGACAAGTGATGGGAGACAACAAATTTACAGGGAAACCACACAACAAGGCAAAACTGGCAAGCCCTGTACACCTGGCCCAGTCCCCCGCAGCCTGGCCCAGCCACTGCCAGGCTTTATGAGAGCAATTTGAAGGGGAATGAAGCAATTCTGTTGAGGTTTTGATCAGTTCTACATGCAAGAAGGGCTGTGGGTGTGCAGGTAATTTACTGCCACTTATGGCAGAGAGCTCTGCTTAGCATCAAGCTACTGACATACGCACCAAACAACAACACTGGGCTCCCAGGTGGGCAGAAGCAGACAACCAAAAGCCTAAAGAAATATTCTTTCTCCATCTTTGGGGTTTACAGCTTTTACACAGTTGCAGATCAGAGGCCTACAGGATGGCCAAGTGGCTGGCTCTGCAGCTGGAGCAGGGCTAGTGACAGCAAGGAGCTGAGTTTGGCTGTGCAGAGGAGTCTGAGGGACACAGGAGAGGGGATCTTCATGCCTGCATAAAGGCTGCCTGTTACTTCTGCCTACAGTGCTTAGCTGATGCTGCTAGCACTGCCGAGATCCCAATGCCAGCCCCATTTAATATCTCTTTTTAATATCATGAATATCATACCTGAAGCAAGACCTCAGAAAACAGGGAACACCAGCACTCACTAGATATTTTGTTTTAAAAAAGTGGTACCTTCATATTCTGTTATCAGCCAAAAATATTATTTCCTGGTTTCAGAGAGCATTTCAGAAAGAGGCAGCTCTCCCAGCTGTGTTCAGAGAAACAAAAGCTTCTTCTTCCTGACTATTTCTTTCTTTCTAATTGGTCCTTCAGGTGCTAGAAAACACCACACAAATTCTTCTTTAAAGGGTTTCATTTACAAATCTGTGACATTTATGGAAGCTGTAGAAACAGAATAATTTTTTTGGCAGTGTTAGCTACAGGAAAGTCTATTTAAGTTGACTGCAAAACAGAGTAAGGCTTTTATCTCTTCAGCTCCACCTGCATCATTTCTAAATGAATGCCCCGAATACTTGAGGTCTCTGGGAACCTCTTTTCAATACTCTTCTTCCTTTTGTCACTAACACCTGGTGACACTGCAGCATCCCTTCACATGGGGCACAGAGAGATGCATGGAATATCTGTGCTACCGTTAAGTGCAAGGAGATGGGTTTAAGCACCATGCCCTATGAGATAACAGCACTTGAGCGGACAGACTACCCTGGGCTTCTGAATTCCTCAGATATTTGTAATGCCCTAGTCTGCTTTTAAATGTTTGCATTCTGAATTTATTTGTACCCAAATTCCACTTACAAAGAGGCTTGTTTTATTAGGAAAAATATTATTCTATCCTATCAAGCTGGGATAGCAACTCAGACTTATCTAGGAAAGAGAAACAGGTGTAAGAAGAGAGCATAGGAGTGACTGTCCACTTCAGAGCTGGGGCAACAGACTGTCATGTGAAGGACTGGAGGAATATTCTCCAAAACCAAGCAACAATTTAAATATCAGGAGGTTCCTCTTTCTTCCTTGTACTGAGGAAGCACCTGTATAATAGTGTATATAGTCTGTAAGACAGTGATAGCCCTGCTTGCAAAAGGCCTCCATTTACTTTGGACAAAGCTGACAGTGATACAATTCTGATCGACATGGGGATTACCTTACCATGTCCCTAGCCTTACATCGACATGCAGATCAGATCTCTCAAAAGGAGAGTTCTAGTAGGCGATGAAGACTGGGAAGTGGTTCTGTGTTAGTGTGTCATTCCCCTGAAACATCCTAAACTTACCAAAATTTTCTCCTCCCCAGATGTCCATTTGAGTATCGTATTTTCCCAGGTGGTTAAACCAGGACTTGTCAATCACAAAGATGCCTCCTGCTATGACAGGGGTTCTGGAAAAGAAAACACAAGCCCACACAAAATAATCGCATGTATATGTAGCACCACCACCTTCAGTTTAGAGGGGGGACAATTTGTCCAGGCCTGACAAATCGTATCTCATTTAAAAGAGAAAAATAGTAGAGCTGGGACGTGAACCTGCAGCAGGCTTCTGAGATCCCCCTCACTAGATCACCCTCCTCCTTTGTTAGATGGTCCTGCAAGCACTCCATGAGTAATGCTGCGTCTTTTGCATTTATACAAATATACACAGTGTGAAGGAATGACAGGGGCACTGTCTGATGACTGTGTTCACCAACTAGACACAATGTGAGAGACACTGCTGCATGTACTGCTCTGCTGGTTGCTTCTGGAGTACAAAACAGAGGCTCACAAATTACACAGAGGAATTGAATGATACTTTTATATTACAAACAGGAAGCTGCCTGCATATACAGACAAGCACTGTGACTTTTTATATCAGGATTTGTCACATTCTACATTCCTCAGAGCCACACATACAGCAGTGAGGCTGGCAATAACTGTTCCACCCAGCAGAGTCTGTTTTGTCCATGGACATGCATATTTAGGAGGGAAGGATAATTCTGTGCCCAAATTACTAAGCAAGATTCAGTTCCCAGGTCTGCTTTACACTTGCTGAGTGACTGTTTAGCTGCTTCATTCCTTAGTTCTTCACCTGGAAGATGGAGGTAATTAAAAAAACCCAAAGGGATTTCTGAGGCATTCAGAGTGTTGAGTGAGGGAGACCACAAAAACACACATATAGAAGAAGAGGTGGCTTGTAGAAGTGGCATGCCTACAAGCCTATGATAGTATACAGTGCTATTCTTACAATATTCAGAGAGTAATACTCTCAGGATTAGGGTGTAGACCTCAATGCATTCAGAAAATAACATGAAGAATCTGTCATCGTCAAGTGAACACACTGTGGGATTTTGTCCTCAGCAACGCAGTCCCTGTGCACTCCTTGCCATACAGGTCAAGGCTTAGTAAAGGCATTTGGAGGACTGTACACAGTCCATCAGAGACAGCTACCTTATAGACTGAGTTGGGTCTGTTCTGGACATCTTCTGCTCTATAGGAATCTGCTCCCACTTAAAGTGAAGGCTCCAGTCAAACCCTGAGAAGGAAAAAAACATGTCAAATAGGTTTTGTTATTGTTTTTCTACTAGCTTCAGTGATAGTCTCCATCTTTACATCACAGGCTATCCCTACGTTCCTTCCCTGACCTCCCTCACAGTTTACCCAAAACGGCAAGAGTCTATCCTAATGGAGAAGTCACCAGCTTCTGTCTTGGCATACTCATCCCTTAGCATTACAGATTTCTGCTTAATTCCACTCCACATCTTCAGGAGAGTGTTTTCAGTGAGATATAATTGCATTTTGGCCAGTCTGTCTTATACTTCTCTGTCTGTCAAAGTTATGAGTCTTTAATCAAAGGACTTTGTGGGGTGTCATGTATTCTGGGAACAAAGCCCTGCAGATCACTGTAACCATCACCTCTTTCAAGACTACCATTTATTTGTAGTTGGCCTGTGGTGGGTAGTTGAGCACAGCACAGTCACTAACATTATACCATTGTTAAGGGTAGCCACAGAACAAGTAGCCTTTGGCAGGCAAGCAGTGCAGCAGTGAACCCCAGCCACAGAAGAGGGAGAAGAGCACCAGGCACTGTGGGTAACCACAGGAACAGCTGCAGTGGGTTCAGCTGCGAGGAGAGAGGTGAAAATGCTTTTCAGAAGATGCCATGAGATAGCCTGGCAGATTGGAGCAGCAACTGGAAGTGCCTGTCAGACTCCAGCGCACAGGTAGCGTAGGAAGGGCATGGTGATATGTTTAATCAGTTAACTAAGCCCTGAAATTGCAAAATGTTGTGACAGTGATGCAAGCTCAAGAGGAAAACACTAGTTGGGTTTTAAATCTGCAAAAGAAAGATCTGACTTTGCAAGTTGCAGGAAAAACAGGACAGAGAACCCGTCAGGAAAAATCATATCTCTGTTTTCTTGGAAAGCTGAAGAAAACATCAATTATTTTTCATGCACCATCCCCCGGGCCTAACTTACACAAGCCATTCATTATACCTACCTCCCCTCAGATCTGCTGATGCTGCCAGGTAGGCAAAATTATCCAGGCTGATAACATCAATGATTGGACTCACCACTCGGGTATAATCCTGAGGGAAAGAGAGAAAGGGAAAAAAATAAAGGAGTCGGGCTTTCTTGAATGTCTGACAAAGCTGCCAGAGATCAGAAAACACAAAGCTGCACACGTAAATCTTTGTCTGGCTTCTCCAGCACAGTTCTGGTAGCTGAGCAAGGGATCCATGGCCACTACATCCAGACATGGAGATGGTGGGTACTAGTCAGGTACACGCCACGGATGTGGGGAATGGAGCCTGGGACCCCAACACGCAGGAGTGCTGCTAAGAAACAGCTCTTTATTTCCTGCCCAAGTCACAGGGCACGAATCACTGTCCCAAAGGTTTTGTGCTTGCTTTTGATATCTATTGACAGCATACCTTCTGGTCAACCATCCTTGAATTAACTCATCATCAGCCTGGAATAGATCAACCCCCTAATAAAGCATCTTCCTAACGAGTACTATGAATCAAGACCCCACACTTAAGAATCATAGTGCAAACTGAAAAAACATCATAATATTAAGATATTGGGGGTACTTTATTGGCATTAAGGGGTATATATATTTAGTTTTCCTTTGCAATTCTTTTAGTAAGTAGAAGTTGAGATTATAAGAATTTTTCAACATCATGAGCCAGGGCATTGAAGACAGTCTTGTGATACCTAAAATATACGATGAAACAGGGAGCTGGCAATGCCAGAAAGAGCATCTCATTACCAGACAGCTGCCAGCCTCCATGCCTTTCCTATCAAACCTTCATTTTATACTTTTCAATAGTTCCTCCTGCTGTAGCACACTTGGCCAGGACAGCACATCCTAGGTGAGAGCTATCATTCATGTTTATTCCCTTCTGTGCTGCGATGGCTGCACAGTGAGAGTATGTCTGCCCAACCTGAGCCCCCCCAGCATCCACCTGGCAGCCTGGTGCTCAAGCCACTGCTCCAGCCAGTCAATGCTAGGACTGGGTGGGCCAAGACTGAAATCTGAACTAGAATGCACATCAGAAATGTAGGAAGTAGGTCAGAGATAGGCTGACTTGAAATCTGCTCACTAAATAATACTGGAGTCAGCACCCAAGCTTTTGCAACTTAGATCGTTCCCTGAAGAAACTAGTGAGGTTCTTTCTGCTTAGGGACCCCTATGCTGCTGCTGCTGCAGCTTGACTTAAAGAGCAGTAGTAAAGTAAACATTTATGGGCTTCCGAGATGGAGAATTTATTGAGCAGGAATAAAAAGCAGAAGCTTTTAAGTCATCAATCCTGAAGTTTCACCTTCTTCCGCTGCTTTGTATTAAGCCAACCAGACATGAATACCAGGCAGTGTTAGAGCTTCCATCCCTTCTCCTGGGGCCCATTACTCCATGGGATCCTCCTTTCAGAAGAGGCGATCAATCCCAGCCACTTGCAAGGATGGCTGTGACTTCTCCCATCACCTCTCCCCAGTTTGCTCTTACAGCAGAGCTGTAAGTCTCCCCCCACAGCCCTACAGTGCAGTCAGGGTCACAGCTGCTAATATTCCTGTCTCATTTTCACTCTTCCAGCTTCACATCAATCCTTTGCCAAGTGAACCAGCAAAGGGACATCCCTGCACTCACAGGCAGCAACTCTGTGCTAGGAAGCCGCCTGCATGCAGGTGGTATGTGTTGGCAGCTCAGCGGAAGCATTAATGGAAGGAAAATTTTGGTAGTGACAAGGCAGAGGGAAGGGTCCAGCAGCAAGAAGGGAGATGGCAACCATGGAAAAGTTGCACAGTGTGTGCTGCCAAAGTGGCTATCCTATGTACAGGTGGACAGGACTAGGAAGCACAGCACCTGCAGGAGACATGAGGTACAAGTTGGTGGTTCAAGCGTTCACCATTGCATCCCATCACTCAGCACCTCCTGCCCTACCACACCGGCAGGAGAACGTAGAAGCCCGTCAGGGATCTCTTGCCCACCCAGCTCAGGCTATGCCTTACTCTGTAACAGCCTGCCTGAGGAGTACGTGGGCAGGCTTTGTCCTCACCAGTACTGCTGATGGCATGTGAGGGCAGAGGATTCACCAGCACAAGACAGGCCAGCTCCATCCATCCCAGAGGGGGATGTGGTGCTCACCTCTTTTACTCTCTGAAGCATTGGCTGCAGCCACTCACTGTTGACTTCACAGTGACTGTCCAAGAAGGTGAGGATGTCAGCAGTAGCCACTTCAGCTCCTCGCACCCGAGAGCGAATCAGCCCTACAATGAGGAAAGGACAGCAGAGGAGCAGGAATATTAGGAAGGGAAACAGCTGAACCTCCTTCAGAAAAAATACTTTGTGTGGCCATTACAGGGGGAGAGCAGGTGGTTCTCTTATATCACACCTCCATCAGGAGCAGAGAGCAGCTTTAGCAGAGCATCCCCTGGGGGACACTATCAGCTGAGCCCTCCCAGCTCACAAAGAATGACCTGGCCTGTCACTTCTGTCCATGCTACTGAGTTCCTGCTGTGATGACATCCCCCTTCCCTTCCAGTCCTCCCCACAGGTACCTTGCTGCTGCCTGCTCGGTGTCTCTCCCATTACGAGCACCCTGCTGCCTCTCTCACCACTTCCACAGGACCAAGCTCTACTCTCTGCTTGTTTCCTTTCTTACTGCTTATCTGCTTTATTCCCATTTGTCCTTCATTCTGCCCAGTGGTCAGAGATATCAACCTGGCTCTCAGGTGCCTCCTTACTTTCTTACACACCATCCCACTACCTGGGATGTTCTTCATGAACTAAGCAGTGATTCCTGCCTCCCCTTCCAGACCCTCGCTCCAGGACTGCTGTGCATTGAGAGCTTTAGAAATAAGCCAGCACATGTGAGTCAAACTAAAGAGCAGCTGGGAAAGTCAGTGTTACCATTTATGCACATAGGATATATATGAGAAATAACTTTCCTTAATTGTATCTCTTTATGATAGATATATGATTGTTTTTCCTTTCTCCCACATCTCCTAGATGGCTTGTTATCTTGCACTCTGAGTTTAAAAGGACAGGACTTACATCTGCATCTATATTAATAAAGATCTTAAAATGTGGCCCTTATTCTAGCCAGTACCTCTGGACACCACTTCTCATTATTTAAAGTATGAAATGAGAGCCCTGAAGCCTGAGAGTTGATAAGCCAGGTTGTCCCTCCACAGAGCCTCCAAACTAGGATACCAAACCCTTATACTGAAAAAACAAACTGTAACTACAAGAAACAACATGTAAGCAGCTGGCAGGCAAACAGGGCCATGTGGGAAAATCTGCAAAATCTTTGTACCTACAAAGCTTTCCACACTCACCTTCTCGCCGGGTGTTTCGTAGACACTTGACCTTTGGGATCTTGGTAAGGAGCTGGCAGTCCTCAGCTTAGGAAAGGCAAAAAAACCATTTGGCACACATGCATGAATTATTTGGCTTCAACAAAAAGCTCCAATTAACTGTTCTCCTGCTTCTCCATGGGAGGGGAAATTCTGCTTTCACTTAACTTCACATTAATCAGCCTGATGGCCTTAATCCTGTTGTCTAAAGAGTACACAGAAGAGCACTGCTTGCTTGCTGTCCTCCTCAGACAGCTGAGCCTGTGTTTCCTGATACTCTGAGCAGCCAGACCTTCGCCCTCCCGTGCTCAGCGTTTCACAAGAACAATGGGGCATGCGCTGGCAGCGTGGCACCGAGCACTGATGAAACAGAGGGACCGCAGGAAGCCAGGGCTGCAAATCACCAAAGTGCCAAGTAAAAGCGAGTCCTGTCATATAAAGTGATCTCATCGGCTCTCTTTGCCTTCAGCGGCTCATCTGGGCATTTCCCACCATTTGTTCTCGAGGCAGTTTCTGCTTGCTTTTATTTAATAAAGGCCACGGGGATATGACCCGCTTCCTTGGAGACACCATTACATTAACACATGGATGCATAACTGAGGGCTTTGCTGGCAGCTTCCCAGAAGCTTGTGGCATCCCTCATTTACATTGCCCAGGGAAGATGACGGTGAGGAACAGCTACCAGCTCCAGCCCAGGTGTACCAATGAGCACTGGGTCTTTAGTTCTCTATTATCCTCTCTCTATTCCTGCTCTAGTAGAGGTCATAGGAATAACAATTTATAACTTGCTCTTTTTCCTTGCTCCACCAAGTTCACCCCAGTTTCCATGTTTATTCCATGTTCCTTTCCATGTCTTACACCCCCCCTTTCCCACTGTCATCCTCCCACAGACTGAGCGCTCTGGGGAGAACACAAAGGCCATTAGCCAAAGTGCATCTCTTGGCATGTTTCTGTGCAAACATTTCCATTCTCAAGGATACCTGCAATCTGAAATACCGGTCTTGTGTGGGCACTTTGGCAGCTGCTACAGCATCCAAGTGAAGTGGCAGGTGCTCTTAATTACAGAGCATCAAGATTTTGCTGGACATCTGCTACAAGGGAAGGCAACACTCTCATCTTGCCCAAGTCACAACTTCAGGTATGAGAAACCTTATTAAGTCATCCACTTTCTGGGAGTGGTGCACATCACTCTGACTGTAACTACTTGCCAGAGCTGACAGACTCTCTGTATCTTTGGAGAAACCAAGGCGGATATTAAAGCAGAGTGAGACCTCAAACATGTGCTAAAGTGCCTCCATACAGGTGCCTCAGGGGAGTAGCTGTATTCACAAATATCCAACTGCCAGTGAAAAAATGAGAGCTGTCATAGGATGGAGCTTTTTAAAAATCTTTCTATTTACCTAGGAGCCTAAATGGGAGTTTCTGGTTGAGCCCTGTGCAGGACAGGTACCAGAAATCCATCAGTGTTGATCCAGAACACTTTGGCCATTGAGAATTGACTTTTTAGGTGCTAAATGTGGAACACTCTAGGATTGTCTGTTGGAAGTGCTCAGAAACACTCAACTCCAACAGCTGGGCACAGTTCAGTCCTTATCCAAATCACACTCTAAGGCCCTTGGAAACTTAAATCCCTAATCTCTACATCTACCTTTAAAATTTTTTTTTGGCCAAAGCTATATAAGTATTTAGCTGCAAAATCAAAAGAGCAATGCTTCCTTACCTCAGCAGGCCAAGGTGGGCATTCTCAGCTATCTGTAAAGTGTTCTGAAGGAGTAATTATCAATTATTACAAGTCGCACACAACTAGATTGTCCTCGAATCTAGCGCACATCATGGGAGAAGCAAGAAGTCTCCTGTCCCCACCACCTCTACACTACATACATAACTACTACATAACAGCCAAGAGCAAGAGCAACTGTACAGATGGAAAGAGTCCATAGCCTCCAGTCTGCAGGTCTGGTGGGACTCCTGCAGAAGACACTCCATCGCTGTGCCAAGCTGCAGGAGAAGGTATGGCACTGCCCAAAGCAATAATCCTTTCACGGCCTCCCACAGGGACACCTGGGATCCCAGGCACATGGAGGCAGGCAGACAGTCTCGCCCCAGTCTACCTGCAGGACCCCAGGCAGCAATTTTCTGGAGGCTCCATTGCGTCCTCGTGCTCTCTCTTGGTTTGTAACTACCCACTCTGCTCACGCACACCATTGCTACGTACATATCTGTGCTAAACAGCTCACAAAATGGTGCATAATGAAACTAGACAGAGATCTCTGGCAACCTGGCCAAAACTGCCAAGCTGACAGAAAGGGAAGACCCAATGGAAAGGGAAAAAAAAAGGAAGAAGCTCTGGCCTCTGCCATGCATGGACATAAAACACAGAAAAACTTCCTCCCTTTTCTTTTTCTCTTGCATACAGACAAGAGGGAATCTCTGTGAGGGAGGGGGACTGAACACAGCAATCAAAAAGAGACACAAGAGAAGGGAAGAAGCAAGTGCAAGGGAAATAGGTCCATACTTACGATCTGAGCTGAAGTCATCTACCAAAATGATCTCCTGGATGAGGCTGGGAGGCGTGCGGTTCAGGACACTGCAGGGACCCAGGGAGGAAAAAGACAATCTTTGTGAGCTGCCGTAATAATGACGATGGTAGGACTGATATGAATCTGCTATGCTATGCATTAGAGCAGGAATACCAAACTCCAGTAATGTGGAAGAGGTAACCTTACCCTTGTACCAGGGCTCACTGACAGGAGCCAAACTGCAAGCAAGAATATCCCAGAGAGCTATAGTATCTCAGCCAGACCTTACAAGGACCCACAGCTAGGAAGCTGACTGCAGGACTTACCTGGAGGCAGCTAGCAAAGGATGCTGCAGCATGCTCTCTGCCTCTAAATAGAGCGGCAATGAGGAGAGCATCACCTGCCCCAAGGCAGCCAGGAGGCAGTTCCCATCTGCCAGGCTCCGGGCAAAGCTCATCACTGCCGGGAAGCAGAAAGAGAGCTGCCACTTTCCCCAGCAAGGAGCTCTGTCTCAATGCCACGATAAGGCCTGCTGGGGCTTTCTTGCGATTCCCTTCTTTGGGAGGAAGGCAATTTGCTTTGGCAATATTCTGGATTTGGATATTTTTTTTTCTTCCTCTTTTTCTTGTTATTTGTCTTTCTTTCAAACCAGCCTCACACTTGCTGAGAGCATCCCCCTCTCCTCAGGCTGGTTGCACCATGCCCCACAATACCCTCAGGACTGCAGTGGGTTTGCGTCTGCAGGCCACAGGGGCTTTCACACACAAGGAGAAGGGATAAAAGCCTCTGCCCTCCTCAGAGGTCAATGCACTCTGGTACCCTGGAGTCAGAACAGTTTGATTCTGACCTCTTTGTCCCTCTCATTTGTTTCAAATGCTTGAACTAATTTTCCATGACCTTCTTCAAGCCCCTCCCCTGGCTTTACTACAATCACTCAGCATATTCCCCCTTCGAGCCTCTTTCAATGCCTCTACGCACAGGCAGGTCCTCACTGCCTTCAACAAGATCACTCAGTAACACTTAGGCACCCCAATGAAGAGGACAGTTATGCAAACTTAATACTAAAAACAGAGGTAAACACTGTCCTAGTTCTAGCAACCTGTCCCATTTCAGTGGCACCCGCTCTTCTGATTTCAGCAATTCTGGAGAAAGATTGTTGGCTTTTTTTCTTTTTTTTTTTTCCTTTTTTGTTTTATACAGGAAACACACAACAAGAGTAATCCCATACTCCCAGGAACGGAGCTGTAGAGAAATAAATTACCATCTTGCTAAGCAGCATCACTGATGGCTTTGCATAGAGAGCCAAAGTTTCCTCAGTTTGGGAGAGTTTTCTGCTGTTTCACACAGCAAAATCCTGACTGCTCTGCTGCTCAGTATCACATCCCACTCTATTTCAGATTTACGCTGCTTCATATGTCTCTGAGAGTATTTGTATTTTGAGCTTATATGTCCCTAGATGACTGAGCTTGCATTTTTCAAAGCTGAATCTCATTTGCTTCTCTTGGCTCATACCTCTCTGGATCCTTTAGCATGGTGGGGTGGGAGGTGGGGGATGTTCCTCTTTGCATTTGTAAGTGCAGCTTCTCCCAGCATAGCTGTCATCTGCATATTTCACAGACAGGGTTGCCTTGCGCTGAAATTCTTGTCTGTGCAAACTCAATGCAAAACATAACCGATCCAGACAGGCTGCATCCTGCAGTATAATGGCTGTAAAATGGTATTCTACACTTTCTCCCACTAGCCTGACTATAAGTAATGCTCACATTTTCTCCACAACTTTCAGGCCTTCCAACTCAACATAACTGGGAAAAAAAAAAAAGCACTTTGTTCTCTCTTCCTCACCTGTCCACTGATTCCCCAGTAGCAAGAAAACACTCCTCGAGGAGTTCTTAGCTTACTGTTCAATGCCCAGTTCTTCTCTTAGCTCTGTAATAATTTGCTGTGGATCCTTGGGAAAGGTACTTAATCTTCTTTGCACTTTGTCTTGCCTGTCTTTTTAACAAGGAACACAGTAATCCTAGTATTTCTCTTCAGTGAGGTGCCAAGACTGGCATGACAATCAATTACTTTTAGGCACAAAATGTATTATTAGGATTCCAAAATCCAAATGACAACTGCCTTTCACAGCAGAAACACAGACTGTTCTCCCTTCATCTCATGGATTCCCTACCTCCTTTGTCTTTTCTCACAGCTTCCTTCTTTCAGTATCAGTGTCCTTACTCTGCTGCATGACACCACATCAGCATTGCCAATGAGTTTCTCTCCTCTGCTGATATGTCCATCCCACATCAGCTCACAGATAATCTCGTTTATTCCAGATGTTAGCAGAGGAGCATCTTTTTTTCCTTTGCTCTAAAATAATCTCCTCTTTTGCCATTATTTAAATTGTCATTGTAATGAGTTGCTATACCAAATGCTCTAGCATTGCAACAGCATGTCATGGTTTAACCACAGCCAGTAACTAAGCACCACGCAGCTGCTCACTCACCCCACACCCCAGTGGGACGAGGGAGAGAATTGGAAGGAAAAAGGTAAAACTTGTGGGTTGAGATAAGAACAGTTTAATAGAACGGAAAGGAAGAAACTAATAATGATAATAATAACAATAATAAAATGACAATAATAATAATAAAAGGATTGGAATATACAAAATAAGTGATGCACAATGCAATTGCTCACCACCCGCTGACCGATGCTCAGTCAGTTCCCGAGCAGCCGTCTGCCCCCCAGGCCAACTCCCCCCAGTTTATATACTGGGCATGACAACACATGGTATGGAATATCCCTTTGGCCAGTTTGGGTCAGCTGCTCTGGCTATGTCCCCTCCCAAACTTCTTGTGCCATGAGAAGCTGAAAAATCCTTGACTTTTAGTCTAAACGCTACTTAGCAACAACTGAAAACATCAGTGTGTTATCAACATTCTTCTCATACTGAATCCAAGACATCATACTATACCAGCTACTCAGAAGAAAATTAACTCTGTCCTAGCTGAAACCAGGACACAGCATCCTTTTAATCAGAATTTATACAGGCTCTCTGCATAGGCACTGAACCACTGACAGCTGTTCAAGTCCATTGACTTAAGGCCTGACTATTCACCTTTACATTTCCACCAAAACCAAGTAGTCCCTGCAATACTGCCTGAAATCCGAAATAAAGAGAAAGAAAGGGACCAGACAACAAAGCAGTTGATTTTCCCTTCTGCAATAATGGTCACTGCAGCAGAAGTGATGGTATCGCTTAATGACTAATCAGGCACAGACATCAATCACGCAAAGTGCCTTTTGAGTGACAGTTATTTCTGAAGGAGAACAGGATGACAAACAAGTAACTGGTTTAAGAGTGACAGCTATGTCCTGCTGAAGAAGAGATATCATGCAGGCAAGCAGCTCTTGACTGACACACATCTCCTGCAGGACCACGCATGCCAGCAATGAGCCATTCGAACTGGCATGTTCACAGGTTCTGTTGGATAGCCCATTTCCCTTTTTTTTTTTTCCCTACTCCCCTTCTTAGTCTCTTGCTGGATATTTTTAACCAGTTGTCTCCCTCTACACTGAAAACAAATGAACAAAATTTGTTGGAAGGACTCCCTGCATGGGACCAGTAGGATTTGGGGCAGCATAGCCTACTGGAGCACTGGCGTGGTCCCTCTGGCAGCTTGCAGGCTGGGCAGCAGGTCCAGCTGCCTGTTGCCTTTATCTAGGGCAGAGGAGGAAAATGGCTGGAGCCCACAGCAGCAGGCAGGCACTCAGCCCATGCTGCTTCTGGGGACCAGGAGGGTGTAAAGGGAACTAGGCCTTAACCCTCATTGTTTCTAAGACTGTTCATATCAGACATATAACTAATGATTAGAGATTGGTTTAGATGTGATTAATAGAATGCAGGTGCTTATAAAACAATATGCATAAGCTGCTTATTTGTCCCACGTGTAGCCCTCACTGTGGCTGGCTTAAAACCCAGTGAAGCTGAATCAACAGAAAAAGGATCATACATCTTAGACCTAAGACATAAGAATAGATAAGAGTAAGTGATTAACTTTAGAGTAAGATGAATTAATAGAATAACCTGAGTGATTTTCAGAAATTCAAAGGTGATCTTTGATGTGTAAGAAGATAAGCGACTGTGGTGACCGGAGACCTTCTGCCTATGACCACTAACTTCAGAAGAACCAGGGCAAGACAATAAGAATCAGTCAAGACAGGAAAATGTATTGGACTTTTGAAACCACTGGAGAATAGAGAACTGAGAGTTCGTGGAAAAACACCAAGAACACCAAGAACTTCTTTTGACCAATCATCAATTGTGTATTGTTTTGTAAAATCGTATATATATAGAAGGCATTTTTGAGTTATTTTTTGCCATTCACTGTGGTGGTGGCCCAATTCTTGAGTTGTTAATAAAACAAACCTAGAGAAACCCATGACTGGAAATTCTTTAGCAGAGGGACAAGCGACAGGGTGCTGGAGGGAAGAAGTTATTCCTCCCCACAGTCACTCCTCTATTTCCCCCTCTCCCTCAAACACAAACATTTCTCCCATCCTCAAGTGGCAATAACAGCACATCACTCCCATTGCTTCCACCCAGCAGCAGAGATCCCAAGGGCAGCAGGGAGAGCTTGGCAACTGCTGAGCTGCCAGATGTGCTTGTGCGAGTCCCTGTCTACACACATGCAGGTGGGTTTAGCAAGAAGGGTCTGCAGATCAGGATCTGGCCCCTACAGCTGCCATGTTTAGATCACCCTGAAATAAACCGTCTCATCCCTGGGTCACTTCCCAAGACCTTTTGGTACCAGCATTGCCACTTAGCTGAGTTACCTTGCAGAGCTGTCAGAATAACACAGTAAGACACTATCTGGCTTAGGGGAGCACATTTAGGCTCTCTATAGTTTTAATTTAAGATCAGTTCAATCCCAGTACCATTTCCATATATTTCTTCCTAGAATTTCCCAAGGTTTCACAGCTGATTTTTGAGTGCCTAAATTTAGGCACTCAACAGCCAGGCTTGTAAAGATCTCAGGTATGAAAACTTCAACTGGTAGTACATGTTCTACTTGCCTCTAAAAAAGTTTTCAGCCATAGAAAATTTTGCTCTCAGTGCTGCTTATTTCCATCAGTTGTCTTCTTCCACCCCCGCTTCTCTTATAGCATCCCCATAGTGTAATTATGATAACTAAACTTAGGAAAAGGTCCATAATAACAGTGGAATCATATTTAACTTTCACCAGGTGCCTCTCAAATGGTTAATTCAAACTGTCTAAATACTCATGCTCTACCTGGCTTAAGAAAGCTCTTATGGATATAGAAATGATGACAGGCTGCAAGCCTGACTAGTCAGCAGGTAAGCAGGCAGTGCAATTTTATGCCTCCTGTTGCTTAATATCACTGTGGTCCTCTGCAGATTCACAGCCAGGTCATAAACCAAACAGAACAGAACAGTCCTGTCCCTTTGATACTTGACTTATCCCAAAGTGCTGCAAGGTAATTACATAGTATTTGGTGCCCTGACTGTGTGACAGAATTGAGTGACAATTATACTCACAGCAGTAACTCAGCCTGGCACGATGCACTTTGCTGAAAGACAGGACTCTCAGGTTACAGAAAAGGCCTTGAAGAGCACCCTGAAATCTTCAACTCCCTCTATAACATCAGTGTCAACCTGGAAGTGGGACTTAGCTCTATGCCTCTTCTAATAGTGCAGCCATGACCTGAACCTTCACCTCTGTCTATGGTTGTCAAACCTCCCATGCCTCACAGACAAGGCTACTAGCCAATGCTTGGTTGCGTGACGCTGCAAATACTGTAGAGCCCAAGAAGAATTCATCCTTCGGGATCCCTTGTCAGGCAGGGATAAATCATGGACACTTCTGACATTTGATGTAAGCAAGAAGTAAATCAATCACATGCACTGGCTGTAAACCATCTGGCAATGAAGATTCCAGCTGTAGCCAGAGGTCTGGGAGGAAATGCCACCCACCCCACCATTCACAGCAGAGTACAGCCAGTTCCTCACAAGAGCACTCCTCCAGTGGCAGCAGGATTGCAGGGACCAATTTGAACAGATGGGTCATCCATTTTTCAAGGTCTTTGTGGGGCGCTCTGGGTTGCTGGAGACCACAGCTGAGAGGCTGGTAATCCCACATCTTGAGTGCTGTGTCCAGTTCTGGGCTTCCCAGGACAAGAAAAAGTGGGACATGCTGAAGCAGGTCCATTGAAGGACCACTAAGATAATTAAGGGACTGGAGTATCAGATGTATGAGGTGAGGTTGAAAGAGCTGGGGTTGTTTAGCCTTGAGAAGAGGATGCTCAGAGAGGTTGCAGAGTCCGCATCCTTGGAAATACTAAAAACTGACCAGGCACAGCCCTGAGCAACCCACTCCAGTTGACCTTGCTTTGAGCAAGCCTGCCCTGTTAATGCCTGGCAACACTCACCTGCTCATTAGTACACAACACCTCCATAGGATCTGGACATCAGTTTCTCTCTCTATGCGTTACTGCTGCTCTGAATGTCATCTTCTCTTCATTTTAACTGTCATGGCATCTGGCTATTTGATGGGCTGCCTTGAGATTTTCTTAAGGATCCTACTACCATGGTTTCTGAGCACCTAACCATTTATTGTCTGACCTATGATGTAATTGGCAGAAATCTCCTCCCGTTACCCTAGCAGCACTGTGGTCCCAAACAAATCTGCTCATTTTCTGAACAGTGGCCCTGTAGAACTCATTTTATAGTTCAAATGAAAAGGAAATGATAGAGGTAAAAAGGCAAAATGTGTTAATGCAATATATACAGGTCTCTGGAAACACAGTAGCACCAAACCTGGCAGACAGAAACCAGCCTTCTAGCCATGAGGCTAACTTGAAAAAGCCTGTTATTTATTCACAAAGCACATTTCTCCAAGCCCACAGGATCTGTCAGGGGAAGAAGCGGTGATGATGAATAATGCATTCCTGTTAGTGATACCATCAGCTCAACCTTCCACAAGACTTTGAGTTCATCACCTTCTGCTTGAAAGACTTGCAGGCTGTGCCCACTGCCCTCAGTGAGCCAGCCCCAGCTCCTGTAACACATGCCCTAGCAGGGAGCTGGCTGCTTATTCCCATTTATGGAACACAGTCCTTCCCAAGCCCCATCCATCAGTTGCATCTAGCAACACACAGTGTCCCCTTTGTTCCCCCCTCACTCTTCCAAACCAAGCTCATAAAGACTGTTCCCACCTGCAGATGCAGGCCTAGCAGCCCTTTTCCTGCTGCTAATGATTCCCACCACAGGGCCTATATAGTGGCTAACTGCAGATATGCTCTGTCTTTGAAGATACGCCCACACTACCAATCCAAGCCCCTGACCTGTGCTAGTGGGCCAGCTCAAGGGCAGATCACAAGCACTTGGGGGACTGCAGCCACCCTCCTTGTCTAACTGCTGGAAAATGCCTAACCCTCCACCAGCGCCCTTCCAGGCACCATCGTTTGGGCCCAGCACCCCTTGCTGAACCCACCTCTTCACCGTGCGGAGCAGGGTAGAGCGTGCCTCATTGTGGAAGGTGATGATGAGGCTGGTAGCTGGCAAGTCTGTGTCATAGCGTACAGAGGTGCACCTGCAACACAGGAGAGCAGAAGTGTAAGCCAAACATCACCCACTGCAGCAATGTACCTAGAATTTCTAAAGGAGAAGAGAATAATATGCTAAAATCAGAAACAGCACAGTTGAGCTGCAGCAAGGGAGGCCTCAGCAGCCCCTGCACCAAGGTTGGCAGAGCTTAAAAAGAACTCTGTGTTTTGAAAGGCAAAGTTTTGAGGCTGTGATACTATCATGGTTTAACCCCAGCCAGCAACTAAGCACCATGCAGCTGCTCACTCACTCCCCCCAACCTTGTGGGATAGGAGACAGAATCGGGAAAAAAAAAGTAAAACTCGTGGGTTGAGATAAGAATAGTTTAATAAAACAGAAAGGAAGAAACTAACAATGATAATAATAACAATAACAAAATGACAATAATAATAATAAAAAAAGGATTGGAATATACAAGTGATGCACAATGCAATTGCTCACCACCCGCCGACAGACACCCAGCTAGTTCCTGAGCAGTGATCCCTGCTAGCCCCACTCCCCCCAGTTTATGTACTGGGCATGATGTCACACAGTATGGAATACCTCTTTGGCCAGTTTGGGTCAGCTGTCCTAGCTGTGTCCTCTCCCAACTTCTTGTGCCCCTCCAGCCTTCTTGCTGACTGGGCATGAGAAGCTGAAAAATCCTTGACTTGGTATAAACACTACTTAGCAACAACTGAAAACATCAGTGTGTTATCAACGTTCTTCTCATACTGAACCCAAAACATAGCACTACACCAGCTGCTAGGAAGACAATTAGCTCTATCACAGCTGAAACCAGGACAGATACCTAAATTCACGATGCTGAATGCTGAGGAGGGCACGTGGGTTTTATGGGGAACAAAGTTTCAACATCGCGGACTCTAGTCCCTGGATTTGCCTGTGATTCATGCAAAATCTTGTTTATTCATGCATAGGACACGCACATGCTAAGGATGCATGGAGCTGGTACACCCAGGCACTGCTGTATGAAGCACTTCAAACTCTTTGGACATTGGGCTTTACAGAAAGGAAAACACTAGCTAGTGCTGTGATCTGCATCAGGGAGCTGCTGAGGTTCAACACGAATACCTCAGCTGGCAATGGAAAGCAATTCCTCCCATCTGACTTTGTAATGTTAGGTACATACATTCATTCCCATATTCAGAACCAAGCACTAACTCAAGATCAGCTTGCACCAGGGCTGCTCATACCCTGTGGAGAACAAGGATTCTTGGACAACAACTCACAGATGTGAATCCTGGATCCAATTCTGGCAGATACTAGGAATGGCAGATTTGGGCTGATCCGATCCTCCAGAGTGTCTGCCGCCTTAACTTCCAGTCAGTGTCAAACAGCAGTCAGTCTGCACTAATTCCCTGCCCCATCAAGAGCCTGCACTTGAAATTGTGGCCTAGTGTTTTTAACAACTCAAGGTCACACATAGACTGAATCCATCCCAGGAGAGAATACAATTCAATTCTTACAGCCACTACTTGTACTTCCACATTTACTTACTATTCTGCTATGGCTATTACTAAACTGTTACTGTTTTTATCATCACACTCAATCCTACTGGTTTATGACTTTTTCATTGCAGTATTTTATTAAGGGGACAGCAGCATCTTACAGCAATTTTCAAACATATAAAGAAACCTTGATAAAGACTAAAATGGAAAACCTGAGACCAGACAAGAGACGTACCACATTTATTATTGTTTCAAAATAACTCCATGATGTAATGGATATAAAATGTATTAAGGCATCAGGAAGTGGAAAAGCAGAAGAGGTTTCTGTGTGTTATTTGGGAAGTCTTCCCAAGCTCTCAGCACTATTACAGCATCACAGAGGACAAGGACAAAGTCTGTGCTTGCAAATTGGCCCTCTCTTTGCTTTGGATCAAAAAAACAGCTACACGCTAGGTCAGAAGGAGCTTGTAGGATGTGGAGTCAAGTATGTCCAAGCTTCTGCTTGGGTGCCTGAAGAAAAAGTGACATGTTAGCGACCTATTGACCCCGCGCTCCTTAAACGGGGAGCCAGGTTCATTTCTGACACAAGGATGGGCTTTCCTCAAACCACAATCTAACTTGTATCAGCTGAAATAAGTCCTCATCCTAAGTTGCCATCCCAGCAACCATTCCAATATTGTTACGAGACAAGGTACTCAAACACAGCTCCCTTATTCCCAAACTGCCACCCCTGCAAAGGGGAGGAACATGGAAATAGGTTTATCTGCTCTAATTATACACTACTTTGGACTCCCCATTGCTGAAGGGAATCCTTGCAAAGCTGGGACTGAAATGGCCATACATTTCCGGGGAATCACATATATGTTGTTCTTCAGACTGAAGTGCATAGATGAGGCTTTTCACAAAAAGCATGCTCTGTGTGTTACCACAGATCAAAATAAACAATAATTCATCTTTGAAGTGAGCTGGTTTTAGGCCAGAACATGACAGCAGATTAACAGAAAACAGCAATTCTGCATGGCAGGGAGACTTGTCAGTAACGCAGGGCATGGGACCGCTGCCTCCAAGTCACTAGGAAGCCAATCCTGACTACTATGCTGGGGAACAGGAGCACAAGACTTTGATCTCACAACCAAGGTTCTGACTGCTTGCATGCACAAAGCACCCTGATGGCTTGTCAGTGCTGGCAGGCTCACAAATCTCCATGTCTCCTGACATCCCTTTTGCAGTTTCAATCAAGTTAGATGCCTTCTTTCCTGTTTCCAGCAGCTTTGAAGTGTTGCTTTGCAATCCTAGGTAGGGTCTAGGTTCCAGCTCAGATAGACAAGCATTTCAGACATGGTTAGTTTCCTTCTGTTTTTTATCCATTGAAGTAGGCTGTTTTACACTACCCTATCACTATCAAACCTGCAGTTTTCACAGCACAACATTATCTTTTTGTACTCCAGAAACTACAAAATAGTTACCTTAGCACTACTAGCAATTTAAGGATGAGTTTAGTCAGCAAAATAAATTCACTCCCAGTGAAACAAGGACAGAACGATGAGCACTTTGCAAGCCATGAAATACTCACTATATTCACATGTTAGTTTCATCCCCACTCCAGCAGCCTTCATCCAAACCTTAATGCTCAGGCTGGAAAGAAGGCACCAAACCAGCTTCAGGCAGCCAGGGCACAGCAGGTGAGGAACACCAGAGTAAAGCAGGCTGTAACAATGGTGTGCCTTGCAGTCAGGACAGAGGGTTGCTGAGAGAAGCCATGAGTGTGAGGGGAGTTGCGCAAAAAACAACTGGCAGGTGAGCAATTTGAGCTGCAATGGAGGGGCTGTGCTGAAAAAAACAAGATGATGCTAGCACCTGAGAGAAGAGATGCTAGAAAAGCAACAAGCTGGGGCCAAATTAGTCAAGGGTCTCTGCGCATTTGAGACCTTTCCAGATTAACCACGAAATACAGTGGAGTAACGGACTGACGCTAGCAAACAAAAACACAAACCATCCTTTGTCAACATTGCAGAACAACACAGGAGGGCAGTGGACTCCCCACACCAAGCAGCAGCCACGGCTTGGAGCAAGGGCTGCATTGTACCTGTAGTGCCTGGTGTCCCGAATGGGCCGATCGCTGCTGAGTTTGTCGCTCTCTAGCTGATTAAAAGCGTGCTGACGGTAGGGGTCTTCTCCAGCCTTCACCAGTTTTGAGGACAAGTAAGCCTTTTCGTCAAAACCCCTCCGGCTGTTCTTCTCTCCTTGGGGAGCCCTTGTCATCTAGAGCAGAGACAAATATCAGAGCATCAGGGAGAGCAGCCAACTCATGTTTAGACACAGGTAATAAGTTCAGACATGCGTACACTAAGGCAGGTTGTTTGCCATACATCTGGAAGCGGCTCAGGTATGGGAGAAGGCAGGACAGGCAAGGAAAGGAAAGCAGGAAACCCTCATAGATATGATGTTACAATTGCCTTCCAGGAAAACTGCAGGCCTCGCTATCCTTATTGACTAAGCTTGGGATGAAAGCTGCTGTTCCCAAGAGCACAGGCAGAGCCAAATTCCCTGTAGCACTTGTTAAGGCAGAACGTGTGAGACTGCAGGCATTTGGAAACCCTGCCAGGCAACGCAGGTTTGAGAGCAGCCTCCAGCCAATGCGGCTGAAACACAGTATTTTGAAGAAAAAGAGATTCAGCCTTTCGGCAATCGCTATTGCACAAACACAGAGGCAGCTGATTTAAAAGGTCCCCTGCTGTGCCTTGCTCTGCTTTGCCCAGTCTCACAGAAGTCTGTGATAAAGTTGGAAGTTGCACATGACTGTCCCCAGTCCCACACAGGAGCAAAAACACCTGGGCCATCCCTTTCCTCTCCTAATTTTCCTCTAGCTTTCCTAGGCCACAGGGTCAGTACAATACCAGCACCTGAAGACCATTCACTAGGGCCACTAGGAGGGAGGACAGGCACAGTTCTAGACCACGCAGAACACTTAGATACCAGATTTTGGTTGGAAACAACCTAGAAACTGTAAAATATTGGCTTATAAAGCAATCAGGATTGTTATACAATAAAAGTAGTTTAACAAATTGTCTACGGTAGCTGTTCAGTAGACCAAATCATGAAGAAGCCATAAAATGCTCCCAGCCTTGTACGAAGGAGTGCTGGAGCTCCCTAAAACTGCTGGAAAAGGCAGATTCTGGCACGTCCACATCTCATCCAAAGTGCTGGACAATCCCCAGATCTTGAGATCCTTCTGTGTAAAATAGTTTGGATACCCTCTAATACTAGGCTTGATCATGTTTCTCCTGCTATAAGGCTCCTTTTAGGAGCTTTAGAGGGCAAGAGACCAGGAGCATTTTGGTTGAGCCATCTTAATGGGTTGGGAAGCAACTCAAGACACCCAGCACCACAGCAAATTCCTTAAGCAGGAGAGAGCTTAGAAGAACAAACATGTCTGCACCTTTCTCTGAGAAGGGCTACCCTGCAGTGCAGACAGCCCTAGGAGAACCAGACAGCTGGGTAAGATGATGGCAAATGAAATTCAGCGTAGACAAGTGCAAGATAATGAACATTAGAAGAAACAAATTGAACTACTCATGCACATTGATGGATTTCAAATGAACCGTGACCACTTGGTCCGGTGCACTCAGTCCGCTGAGATGGGAAATATAGCAAATCGAGTGCACTGCAAATGGGACAGAGAAAACTGAAACCATCGTGAACACTGTTACACAAAATCAGTGACAGCTCAGCAGCCACGGCCAGAGTGCAAGTTTTGTCAAACTGGTCTCTGGAAGGAAGCTACCGGAGGATGAAGAGAAATTAAATGTTAGGAATATTCCATTTGGGGAGAAGATGAATGAATGAGAAAAGAAATGAAGGTGGCCCATATAATTATGCCTAATTCAGCCAAGGTCAGCCTGACGCTCAGATTTCCCTTTCTTACCATACAAGAACGAGGGAAGAGCCTTTTCATAGGGGGGAAAAAAAAAAAAGCGCCACTATTCTCAACACAAAGAAACTTATTCAACCACTGCACAGCCAAGCTGCTGTGTATGGATTTGCCCTAGTGCAGGACAGGCCCCGGCACGCTTCGCCAGATAGGCCTGCCTCCATTTTGCCCCCCCCGGCCGCGAGCGCCCCGCCACCCCTCCGCGAGGGATGCCCGCCGTCGTCCCCCTGCCGCCGCAGCACCGGCTGGGCACTCCGCTGGCTTAGGGCAACGGGTCAGTTTTCTGTACGGCTGGTTTCACTGCCTGCTGCCTAGACTCTCCCTTGAAGTCATACTTTCTGTACGATGAGGAAATTAATTACCCTCTAGAAATTGAAAGGTTTTCCTCCTTCGACTCATACTAGGAGTTCTGGCAAACCGAGCTTCCATTTCTTTTTTTCCTCTTGCCCTAGAACACAACACTGGTTTGTAGCAAAAGCCCAGCTTATCACCCGCCTCTAAATATTCTGCAGTCACTCGCTTTCCCTTCGCTACTTATCACCGTCTCCCCAAGCCCTGGAAAAGCAACAGCTGGTTTTGGTTTATATTGCCAGGAACGTCCTGCAAAACACTGGAAGTAGCAACGGGTCTTCAGGAGCCATTTTGTCAGGGCACCGCGAGGGCCAGGGACTCCCCATGGCGGAGCTCAGGGCAAGGCCTGGCAGCCAGGGACCATCCCCACCTCCCAGCCAGGAGTGGGGCAGCCGGGGGGCACCGGGGCAGCCCCAGCCCCAGGCATCGGGCACCTCGCTGGGGACAGGATGGGATGTGGGCCCACCGTGGCAGGCCCCATGGCCAGGCAGAACAAGGCTGTGGGGAGCTGGAGACGGGCCCTGCTGCGGCGTCGCTGGGGCAGGGGCTGAGAGCCCCTGGGGTCCTGCGCCATGGGCAGGGTGCAGGGACCCCCGGGGGGCAACAGGGTCCTGGGCCATGAGCAGGGCCGGGGGAGCCCTGGGGAGTGGGCAGGGACAGGAGGGCCCATTAGTGCCCTCAGGGCCATGACACATTTAAACTTGAACTATTAGGGGTAATTCCTCTAGACGCTATGGTTCTCACGTATCAAATTTTAAAAGTGGTAAAAGAGCACTGGGAATTAATTGTCAGTTAAGAATATTTCTCATTTTCATCTCCGCTGGTATCTCTTTGTGCTCTCTTCAAACAGAGAAAAGGGAAGGTTCAGGGGATGATAGCTCAGAGGGCCTAGCTTCAGCTTCCAGAAAGACAGCTAATCAACAAGTAACCTAACATGCGATCTGTGAGCACCAAGAAGATAACAAGATAATAAATAGGAGCCAACTGAGATTTGTCAAGACCACATCATGTCAGACCAACCTAATTTTCTCCTGTGTTGGAGTAATCAGTCTTAGGGGTGTGGAGAAGCAGGAGATAGATACATCATGACTTTGGTAAAGTTTTTAATAAGGGCTGGCAAAACATCATTAGCAAGCTAGAGAAATAATAGTCTAGATGAAACTACTACAGAATGGGTGAAACTGGTTGGAAAGCCACTGTCAGAGCAAAGGGGCTATGGTGAAAGCAGGTCTTAGGGGTTTGTTCTGGATCCAGCACTATTCAATATTTTCTTAAAAAGTACCTTGGATATTGAGACAGAGTATGTTTATCAAATCCATAGGAAATCTAGCAAAAATATCAGACACATTAGGGAACAGGATTAGAATTCAAAATTATCTCAACACATGGGGAAAAAAAAAATGTCTGAAAACAACAAATGCAATTCAATAAGGGCACTGCAGACCTCTACAGTTCATCAGGTCTGTGCTAATACAAAAGATGGCAGAAAGAGCAGGGTAGCAGCTCCTCAGAAAAGCCATCAATATTACAGCTCATTACAAACTACATACACAACAGGAAAGTCAGATTAAGACAGGAAACCAAACACTACCCTGAGTGGAGCCCGGACAGCTACAAACAAGCCTGGCAAAGCAAATGTAAAGCTTATCTTTAAGGACTGACTTGCTTTATCAGATTCTTCTCCTATAATATAGATGTTTAACTACAGGACATTTATCACTGTTAATTCAAAACATATTTGACAGGAGCAGCACAGGTTCTCTATGAAATAAGTAATCAGTCCCCTGCCAAACCCTCTGAGGAGGGCAGACTGATATCCACCCCCTCTTTCTTCTCCCTTCACATTAACACCCCTCACTTCAGGAAGAAGTCAATATAAGCACATATGAGCTTTGGGTATATTAAAGGCACAGAATGTACAGCTGAGTGCAGAGTCAAGACTTTTACCATATCAACAGGACAGTTCATACCCATAAGTTCTTTATGTAGTTACACACCCTGTATACCCATGCTTGAGGTTGGAACTACAAGTGGGAGTTAGGGGAGCAGAAGAGCCCCGTTCCTTCTGACTGACTGTCATGGTTTAACCCCAGCCAGCAACTAAGCACCCCGCAGCCGCTTGCTCACTCCTCCCCTCCCAGTGGGATGGGGAGAAGAATCAAAAAAAAAAGAAGTAAAACTCGTGGATTGAGATAAGAATGGTTTAATAATTAAACTAAAATAAAATATGATAATAACAATATCATAACTGTAATGAAAAGGAAGATAACAAAAAAAAAAAGAGAGTAATAAAACCCAAGAAAAGACAAGTGAGGCACAATGAAATTGCTCACCACCGACGGATGCACAAGCAGCAATCCGCCCATCCCAGCTGACTCCCCCCAGTTTATATACTGAGCATGATGTTCTCTGGTATGGAATATCCTTTTGGCTAGTTCGGGTCACCTGTCCTGGCCATGCTCCCTCCCAGCTTGTTGTACTCCTGCTTGCTGGCAGAGCATGGGAAACAGAAAAATCCTTAACTTAGAATAAGCACTACTTAGCAACAACTCAAACATCAGTGTGTTATCAACATTATTCTCACACTAAATCCCAAACACACTGTACCAGCTACTAGAAAGAAAATTAACTGTATCCCAGCCAAAACCAGAACACTGATGCTCTTTGATAGAACAAAAATATTTGCTACATGAAAGCAGAAATAAAGATGAATAGGCAGTGGAAATGTGAGCGTCTAGACTAGGGATTAGCAAAGTAGTTTGCAGAAATCAAGGTTTGTCTCAAACATTGCTGAGACCTCCAACACAATTCACATACCACAATTTCAGGAAATACTGTAAACCTCCTAATCTCATTTCACCACTACTCATTTTCACATATGCTTTTCCCTTTCAGTGACAGAATTCACTGAGATGCTCTTCTGCTGTTGAAAGGATGTTCTTATTTGTGTTTTGACATGGTTCAAGAGACCAGAAATTAT